TATATATATATATATCGTCACAAACAGAACTGCCCGGAAAAACCGTAGGCAGAGAGAGAGAAGAGGACAACAAACGAGGGGCTGTGATAAACTGTTTCGTCAGAGTTTCACCGATATATGTATATATATACGAGAGAAGACGACAACAAACGATGGGCTGTGACAAACTGTTTCGCCGGAGCACCGTCGTTTATTGTCATATTCTCCCTCTGTCGTTATAAGCCGAACAACGGAACGAAGAGCCAAAATAGAAACGAAAATAATTGCGAATACAAAAAAATTTACAACCACATTCACATTTGCCACCCATCGAAAGTTTTGAATCCCATTCACATAAACCTGACGAAAGGTGAAAAAAATCACAAATACAGAAAAATATTACAAATAAAATGATAGAACAATCGTCACGGAGATAATCCTAATAGGGCGTCACCATTCTCGTTTGCATTACATGCGTGTACTACAAAATATATACATTTTCAAAAAAAAAAAAAAAAAAAAAAAAGTCTCAAAAAGATTAAAAGAACGAATGGAATGTATCCCCATTTCCGTTCAGAAAGAACAGAACAACTTTTCGCCTCGTTACAAGCCACGTGCCACTCATGGCTGCCTTATCGGCCGTCACGATAGTACCGGGCACGTTTCTCCGTGCCCAACCAAGCCACCATCACCTTCATCGCCCTTTCCTGACTTCGTACACGAACGACGACAAAAATACCAAAATACAATTAAAGTTCGACGAATTCTTTACTACTCTTTATTGAAGACGAGATCCGAAAAAATACAATTCTTTTAAAAAATGAAGTATTAAAATCCCGACAACCTACAAACTAAACCGCCTCCAAAATTGCACCTCCTTCCTCGTCTCCTCCATCTTCACCACCTCCCCCTTCCTCATCGCCGCCATTTGCAGCCCCTCCCCTCTCCTCATCGCCACCATCTTCAACCCATCCCCCTTCGACATCGTCGCCATCGTCACCCCCTCCGCCTTCATCGTCGCTTGTGGGAGGCGACAACAGGTGACCATTTGGCGGAGGCGGGAATGTCCATGCAAGGAAGTGCGAATACGTGGCGGATATTTCCGCCCAGCCGATGGGACCGCGCGTCGGATCGCCCCCCCAACCACCATTTAGCGCAGGCAGACCTTGCGGAAGGTCCCCCCATCCCTCCGCATGATGCAAGGCTGTGTCCGCCGTTGATTGGCCAAACACGCCAGAGGCCGCTGATGGAGAGGATGGGGAAGCGGGCGGTGGTACGGGATTCGTGACGGGAACGGTGTTCGCACCAATCCCCCCCCTGCCATGTGCACCTGACGAAGACGACGATGGCAATGAAGCCATCGCAGGTGGGGACGGCACGCCGCTTTCATTGGCCATCTCTCTCTCTCTCTCTCTCTCTCTCTCTCTCTCTGTCCCAGCTCTTCCCTGTTTTTTTTTTTTTTTTTTTTTTTTTTTTTTTGAAGAAGAAGAAGAAGAAGAAGAAGAAGAAAAAAAAGAAGAAGAAGAAGAAGAAAAAAAAGAAGAAGAAAAAGAAGCGAAAGAAGAATAAAAAGACGAAGGAGATGAGAAAAAGACGAAGAAGTGAAAGAAGAAAAACTCTCTGTATTCCAAGAACAAGAACAAGATGACGAATCGAAACAACAAG